TGGTGGCAGAATTAGCTGTTTTATATAAAACCGAATCACACTTACCTTGCTTTTGCACACTCGTGCCCAGAAGAGCTAACAGAAATTCTTTCTTTCTCTGCCTGTGTTGGTTGGTGATGGATTTAGTGCCAAAAACACTGAACTGAAGCCACCTTCAACTATCCCCCCCCCCCCCCCACCCAAGGCTGAGTCGGTACCTGCCATGAGTTTTGCCAGATCTGTGTCATGAATGAGGCTGAAAGCACAGCCAGAAATAACTGCAGAGCCCAGGGGTGTGCAGGGAACGAGGAAGTGAAATTAGCCAACAGGAGTTAAATAAAACAAAACAGGTAAGAAATCAGCAATCAAACAATTCTCCCATGCTGTTTCCCCACTAGGTATTAATCTATTTAAGAGGAACCCTTTCTTATCAAATGACACATAACACTAATTCTTTATCAGTCAAAGGCATAGAATGATTTCTTTAACTAGTGCCTTAATTTAACAATAATGCATCGCAATATAGCAAAATAAAATGCAACAATGAAATAAGCAGGTGGTTCTTTTTAAGGGCTGGTTTCCCAGATGGGGTCATGCAGAACTTCTCATTAGCAACATCTTAACCACGATCACTCAAAGAAAACTGTCAGCTGTATTTTTAAACAGCCAAACATATTATCTGTATAATAGCAAAATCATCACTTGGATGCATATATGATGCTGGTATAGTCAGTGAAAAATGCTGACAAATTCCCATCAAACTTTGGGTTGCGCATTGGGGGATTGAGGTCTCCACCCATTTAAGGAGGTGCAGGGGGTTATATTGGCTGGTTTTGATTATTTCCTTACAACCCCTCCCATCCCCCACAATTTACGCATATGCATAAATGTATTTTTTGCAAAAATACAAAAAAAAAGACATGAAAAGTGTGCATATTAAGTATGTAATTATATAGCACATAATACATTTTATTTAAAATTACCTGCAGCTGTGCTGCTAAAACAAATGTGTGAGGGCAGGGCCCTTATCTGCTGCAGTGTTGCCTTTTTTAGCACTGCAAAGTGGCAGTGCCTACCCAGAAAAAAAAAAGATCTTGTTTCACTTTTACGCCAGTTTCTACCAGCTGGCCACTTTCACTGCGTGTGCTGGGAGAGGTCAATGCTCATATTACCCCTTTTTCAGTGCTGAAAATCTCATGTCAGACATGCATTTATAGAGAGCAAAGCAAACCCTTGAACCGTGTCACCTAGACGGGGAAGGCTCCTCTCAAAAACCCTGTGGTCACCTTCACATTTTTGGAAAAATCTAAGGAACTTTGGTTATTTTGCTAGTCGTTAAGAAAGCAAAGACTCTTAAAGAAAGTCTGTGAATGCCATTAATACTCATGGAAAAATGCCTTCCTTTCACTTCATGTTGCCCTTTAAAGGTTCTGTCTAATCCTAAATTTCACCATTCATCCAAATCTGTATCTTCCATCACGTCTGGGTTGAATGGAAAATCAGCAGCACCGGATAGTTCAGATGATGTAGCTATACTACTGCAGACAGATATAAATCTACAGAGATTATTGGGTTGGTTCACATAAAAGACAGCTGGTAATTAAGTGTTTAGGGGACTGTAATTTCAAGATCCAGGAATAGCCGTTCAGTTTTGGGCATGAGCTGTAGGTGCTGTGCTTAATCTGGATTTATTCCATGACAAAAAAAAAAACCCTCAGGTAAACAATGGCTAAAGTTTCAAACTGTAATCTTTGTGTGTGTCACATAAAAATAAGAGCTTGTGCTAAGCAGCTACGTTTTAAGCAAAACCAAGAAACAGGCAGAATTTAAGAAGAGCATCTTGTCATTTTACTTGGCCTGATTCCTGGCAATGTTTTCCAGAACTTTCCTACTGAGTCGAGGATGTGAGTCCTTTTCAGACTGCGGCAAGGAGAGGCACAGCACTGGATTCTGATTATTAGCTACAATTTTAACGTAACAAAGAACATTATATTCACCTACATGCATACATGTTACCAAATACTCACTGTGTAAAAAAATATACGTGCTTTTTTCATTATCGAATATGCTTAAAACTAGCCAAAAATTCTGAATTTGAACAGACCAGTGAAAGGATTCTTTAAAATAACTGGTGCAGATGTGAAATGTCAGATATTTCAGCATTTCACTATGCCGTGCACCTAGTAAGATGTAGTTTGCAGTTGTTTATGTGTTGGATGCCAGTGACTTGCCATATCAAAGTCGTTCACTTCCTTACATTCAACTACCCCAATATCCCCAAAAACAGGATGTAGGGACAAACAATATTTTCTTATCAAATCCAGCACTAGGCAGAAAGAGCGACATGCAGATGCCAGATGCCAGCTATCAAATCCGAAAATTAATGAAACTGAGAGTATCTGACTCTTATAGGGAAATCCTGTTTTGCTAACGATTGCTGACTAAAAGTAATCCACGTACAAAAGGCAGGGATGGGGATTAGGCCACGGTATAATTTTTTTAGCTTCACAGCGCCATGAAGGACCAACTTCACAAAATCATATATGCATGCGCTCTCGGGGCGCACACTCAAATTAGCCTCCTCAGCAGACAGAAGTCCCGTGTAGATTTATAGCAGTAACGGTGTATAGTCCACTGTATTGAAATTCACCCCAAAATCAATTTTTCAGTGCCAAGCAGAACAACCCACAGCAAAATGCCTGAAGCAATGATTGACACCAGTGACTAGATGACTAGATGCAGGGCTCTGTCTGTATTATTAATGTTCTTAGGAAAGCCCCTTTTCACTGTAGCTATAGCCATGCATACCATTCCTCAGATTCCCATGACTAATTTAGACAGACCTTTATAGTTACATGAAAGTAGTCAGGCACTCGTGCTGTTCTTTCATTTGAACTAATCATCCTCACCCAGAGTCCAGCGCTTTCACAGCTAATCCATGCAGTTCTACTGTCAGTCTTTAACATGCTCATGCACCAGTGACCTGCCTTACATGGAAGCTGCCTTATTTAAACCTCCATCTTTAAAAATGTAGGGTAGTGGGGACAGATGAAGTGTGTCTGTCTAAAGACTGCCAACCCTCTCTCCCCCCCCCCCCCCCCCCATCCCTGCCATTTTACTTTGTGCAACTTTCTGAACCCGAATTTCCAATGCGCTAATCCACGCACCTTCAGTTGCTGTAATAACCCGCCATCAGCTAGCAAACAACATTCAGCAGTCATTAAACAGCAACGGCACAGTCAGTCCCCAGACACCATCCAGATGCATTAAGTTCGACCGCTGGTGGACAGGCTGAGTGACATGTTTTTGAGATTTGGGCATCTCTCCATCTCGGCGGCTCATGGTGGATGAGTCGCTCATGCTTTATAAATGCCGCCGGATTCTCAAGGAGCACATTCTGTCACGCTTTGCAATCTGACTGTCCAGGTGTTTTGATGGTGCCTTACATCACACTCCGTACTTTATTTATTTTTTTAATAGGAATTCCGAGAAGCCCTATGACACGGCAAGGAAAGCGATTCCAAAAGTCGAACGTAATGCTAAAAGAATGCCCTGAAACTTGTTTTAATGTCTATTCAGCGACAAACAGATCTCCGTTGCCAGTCAGTAAGAGCAGCAGATGGAATTAGGTTTTCTGGAAACCATTTTTTTTTTTTTTTTTTTTTTTACAATAATCGCATTGGGTCCTGGAAAGATCTAGCATGAGCTGAAATATAAAGTCTGATCTGAAAAGGGCATCTTAAGAGCCAGTCATTTCTATTTCCACCCAAATTGTTAGTTACATCCAACCTTGCTGAGTGCATTGACCTTTCATCATTCTAAGATGAAGCACAGCAAGTAGGTCAATTTTAGGAGCCTACTGGTTTCTTACTCATTTTGGAATGATATTCATCACAATTATGCACAGTATGAATGTGTCAGAAAGTGTGTATAAGCCTGCAAGAAAACGTGTCAGGATTTATTTCTTCAAATCAAGCTATTGCCACACCAGAGAATCCACCCTTCCTCCCCAAGAGGTCACGATGAACCTTTTTAAAAGGATGAGTGCTTTAAAAGTTGTGTTACTCATCTCTTGGCATGTTGTTAAATACATCTGCGGCTGATTTGCTAAAAAGAAGGAAAACATCTATTCAAGTGGCACAGACTGATAAAATGCCCGTGGCTGAGCATGTTAGCCTGCGTCTCATTTGCTTGTAATGTTAGCTCCTACTGATGACTGGTGCTGTTGTTTTTCAGGTCATCATCAATACTGGCTAACTAGTACAGCTGTCAAGTTTTATTCTCTCACGCCTCTTCGCAGTGTTCTAGTGCACCATAGAGGTTATACTCAGAAAAGTGCAGCATGATGGAATTTGCAAGCCACTGCTAAGTGCATGAGGAGGGTATTTATAGCAAATAGCCTGAATGCATTAGCTACTTTACAAAACAATGTTCATGCCAATTAGTTCCATTATCTTGTTTTGTAACATTTTCCCAGCATGGAAAAGCAGAAATTCCTGTGGTAAACTGTATTGACAAATATGCACTGTTTCTGCTCGCTCCAAATTGGTTGACTTGAAAATGATGTTGACTCAACTTGAGGTTGTGTCTTTGGTTTGTGCGAAGTCAGAATGAAACTCACATGTACTTGGCCTTAAGAGAAACAACCACAATAGCTACCAGCACATTAATCTACCACATTAATCCACTATTGTAAGAACATAAGACTCAGTTTCATATCTTACTTATATGCATTTTTTTCTGAATGCAATAAAAATAATAAGACAAAAAAAGGGGGAAAATACATTGGCTAAAAATGTGATTCCATAACCTGACGGTAATAAGGATCATATTCTAGGAGGGGTAAAACATTTTGATTAAAAATCTAGCTTGGTCTGCTTGTGCATACGAGAGTCACACCACTGGCCATTTATAGTATTGTAGTTATAATTGGCTCAAACCAGAGCTGAACTTAAAATACCAAGACAACAGTGTGACTCACATCTTAAAGGAGAAACACCCTTAAAATTTTTTAATGGTGCCTTTGCCAGCGATACACATGTTCCCCTGTTGTTCCAGTAACCGACATGCATCCATTGTGCATATTTGGAGAATTGTTTCATTTTATTGCATAAGAAAGTTACTGTGCTAACAAGGTCCTCTAGGCATTATGGTAAGCCATTGCTTTGATTTGACGTGTATGATCTATGGTTTTGTTTCTGATTCTTTACGTTTGAACAGTGAGTGAATCTTACGAGTGACCCTTGCGACTGACAGCTAATTTACTGCTGTGCTTACATGGTCTCTGCACCAGCCACATCGCCAAACAGACACAGTAGTAATATAGTTATATTTCTGCTGCTGCTATATCCTCTTTGTGGTTTTGCTTATTCTTGACTGGAGCAGAATTTGAGTGTCTTTGGTACGACACTGTTTGGCTTATGAGTGCCATCAACACAGGGCTGATCGGCCTGTGAGTACTTCCACAGCATGACCACCAGCCGAACCTTAAGGCTGAGAATTCAGTTCGTCAGTCAAAGCCATTAATTGTCCACTACTCCGAGCATGTAAAGATTTACTTTGCATGTGATGTTTTTGGTTACACACACATTTAAGGCTGCGAAACATGAACTGCTGCTGCGTTTTTCTGTGACACTGTTTTAAATTAACTTGCACGGTTGTATTTATTTATACTATTCTTGCTAGTTCTTGTTAACTTGCTATAAAGAAACTATGTCAGAAATCTCACCCAATAGCTATACAGCCCAGCCTGTTTAATCTATTTTTTTTTGTCATTTGCTGTACAGTAATCTTTTTCACACTCCCTTTGTGGAGAAGGATCTACCAACAGATTCTCCTTGTCTATAGTTCTCGTCATGTTTGATGGGTCATTGCCAAGTCACCTTGTATTCTAGTTATGCCGTCATCAATAAAGCGGACTCCAAGCACAATAAATTACAGCTCTCTTTGTTTAAGTATGAGGTGCAGCACAAATTCACGTCCTAACACCCCCCAACAAAGAACACACAAATAGACGCGTTACTAAGTAACATTTTATTTTATGCAAACTGACTTAATGATTTATTTAGTACAGTGTAAGGCTACAGTGCATAATGCTATCAGTAATTCATAGTCATTCACAATAAAAAATTGACATTCGTAAACATTCATTTCAACTGACATTTATGCTCGCGGATTTCACAATGTGCTAGGACACTGTAGTTTTCCGTGTGCGTGTATACAATAATAACTAACGAAAATCTTTAAGTATAGGCTATGACTTCTTTTGTGTGATATAAAGCATCTTCATTATGTAGGATCATGTAAGTCTACCTGAAGTGTTTCTCCGTGTTTATCAGTTTAATGCTTCACCTGGGGTTCAGTGAGACCTCCACATGAAATCCCACTGCAGATTTAGAGAAAATTGTAGCCGCATGTGGCCAGATAGCATGTGATCTGGAATACCTCACATCTGCTGCCAGGGTAGTCAGGTCGGAGGCAGCATTCAATTTTGGTATAATCATCACCATACTCCCTTTCCTCCTCTAGTCTGTGAAAATGAAATTTAAAATAAAAGCCTCTGGAAAAGAGAACAGGCTTTTAAAACACATTTTACAAAGTGCTTTAGGCCAACTATGCTCGGAAAGGCACTGTATAAAAATTAATCAAATTTAATTGGATATTGTTGTTTGTGTCCAACCTTCTGAATGAATGTGTTGCAGAGTTTTCAATGCCTGGCTAAGACACTCAGAATGACAGCTACTCTGGAGGTTTGTGTTTCGCATGCAGCTCTGACTTTAAGGTGATTTTAACATTAGCTATCAAGAGGCATTTTTAGAGTTCATTTTCCATTAGCTACTATGAGGAATCGGTAGGTTCATTTAACATATTAGAACAGACGGGGCTTCGTGTATTTGGTTTGATTATACAACGCTCTGTGGTTTATTTACGCAGTTCGTCTGCTTGGTTTGTGACCTTTTTGCGCTTCTTTCCCTTTAGAATGTCGCCGTGAGGGATGGAGGAAGGCCGAGGTAATCTTTCGCAGTAGATAATATTTAAAAAGTGCCTTTAACACTGCTTTGATTGACATGTTAATAGAAATTGGACTTCGGCACTTCACTATCCATTAAAGGACACACCATGTCTGAAAACGGCGGTGGGGGCCTTCCACGTAATAAGTGGCTATAAAGCCAGAGACAGCTCTGCGATGAGGCTGACCTCGTAAGCCATCACCGCATTGAAATCATCAACACTCATGCTATTATGCTGTACACACACACTAATATATATCTACACTACATGGGTTTTTATGTCTAAGTTGTATTGGCTTTGGTTTACTATAGAGTACTGTTTTTCACAGTTTAATGCCCTAGGATTGAAGGCTCTATTAGTCTTATTCAAGCAGCAGAAAAGTCTCATCATTGCATAAAGTCAGACTGAACCTTTACTCCCATTAGAGGAAAGACTGCATGTTTTATTGGGTTGCATGTATGTTATGATATGCTATATACAGGCTCTCTATAGGAAGACGTGGTCGTTTACTGTGTGGCTGTGTATGTAGGGCAATGGGAATCTCCTTCTGTACGAAGATTACAGGTGCATCTCTGTGAAAATCAGCAGCTAGGAACACTGGGTATGAAATACGGCTTTTAATGAAGTTTTTGGTGGGAAATTGTCACACTACTGATCAAACTACTAATCAAGCCAGTCACGTTCTCCGTAGAGCGTATAAGTAATACCACAAACCTTTTTGATTTTGGTGAGTCTCTAGAGCTTCCCAGTTTACGGACTGGGACCAACTATGCAATAGAGAGCAATATGACTTAGATTCAGTACTCACAAGAATAGACGTTTCCCAGTTTTGGCAGGGTTCTGGGCTCTGTTTAAGCCAATAATAAACACACTGCTTGTTTCATTGCATCAAAAGCATTATCTGTAATTTGCATGTTTCAACAACCAAGACTCCCTCCTGCCTCTTGGGTAAGAGAGCAGTCTGCTTCCAGTCTAGTGAGCGTCATACTTCATGCTGCCTTCTGACCAACCTCCAGCTTTTCTGTGCCTGTTTATTTGTTATTTTGATCCCTATTTGCTCTCAGAGTGCTAATTATTCTCATAATAAGGCTCATGCTGTGATGGGATGGCACCCTATCCTGGGATATTCCCTGCCTTGTACCTGTGGGATAGGCTCCACACTCCCTGCGTAGGATCCCCCTGAATAGGATAAGCTTTGCAGAAAATGGATGGATGGATGGATGGATGGATGTTTGGACATTCAATGACCTTGTCTTCTGGTTTGAGTGCCATCACCCACTCCCTTCCATTCTCTTCATTCACTTCTCCCATTCATTCTCTCAGCCACAGGCTTAACACACGACAAAACACAACAAGAGGACACTGCTGTTTGTACAGTGTCACCCATGACCCTACAGGTATCCCCCCCTGTGATGAGACCCATGTAACCCCCCCAGAAGCATGTAAAGACAACTAATGCACTGCAGGGATCAAAGGCAAGTTCCCACTATAATGGCGGACCTCATTCAGACTGAGGAGCTAAAGCCTGTACCTGTTTGACCGGCGTCATCATACAGTTACTCCCTACTCTTCACCCAGTCCCTGCTCAGCTTCCAGATGCAGCCTCTCAGCCCTACAGGTCCTTCTAAGCCAGTGAGGCACTTAGGAATTTATTACATGAATTACTGGGAATAGTGGAGATAGAGCTTATTATAATTAAGTACAATGCATATTTTCCACATTCCAATCAGTATTACGGCCCTTATAGTGAAAATATAATAGCCTCTTTCTAGTTGTATGAAACATTAACCGAACACTGAGTCTCTCACACAATGCAAACATCGCTTACAGCAGATCACTAATGCATACCAAAGTCAATGGAAATGCATTTCTTCCACTACATTCTAGCATAATAGAATTACTGCTCAAGGTTACTGTAGGCCGATAACAAGAAAACATGGAAGCCCACGCCTTAACTAAGGGCAGGAGCATATTCTTGCTTTGTTTACCTCATTTCAGCTCATTTTCTATTGTTCTCAACATTAGCAGTAATTAACGCTTACCCCAAGTAGCTAAACAAGAAATATTATATAATATGGAGCAAAAAGTCAGCTGATCTATTCGGTTGCATTGTAGCGAGTAAAGGTTTGGGTATGTCCTTCACAGCAAACACTGGAAATGCAGTTCAAAGGCTGTGCTGTACACTCATAGTACTGCTGACAAGCAAGTATCAATCGCCTCTCGAGAGCAAAACTGAGAAAAGCAGTTCCTCTTCTTGTGGATAGTTCCACTAGAATGATAATAGACAGACAATAAGCATGCTTCATCTTTCAGGGCTTGTATGAGTGTTTTTAATTTTCGTGCCAAGTTTTTGAACAATTTAAAAAAATTATAATAATAAAAAAATATTTAATCAGTAGTTAATTAAAAATTTACTAAAAGTTAATGTACTGGGCATAGATTCAGAAACAGCCTTTCTCAGTTTAAAACAGTCTTTTATTAATGCATGAGGGTTAAGGTTCAGCATTAAAATCCCAGCAAAGTCTATATAGGGAAATCAGTATTATTTAGAATTTGAGTACAAGTGGGTTGTTGTGCAACAATATAAATAAACATTTGTCTAAACAAACAACTGTGTAACCAAAGGTGTAACAGAATGGTTGTGTTTGAGAAAATGTTGCGAAATGATTCACAGATTTGATTTTTGCTACTGAAAATACATTTATTTTTGAAAAGAGGAATGACTTTTGGGTTTCAAAGATAAGATTGTGTTGTGCCACTTTAGCAAATCGTTTCAGCAGATTTGGACATTTTGTATTCTTTTGTTATGTCTAGGCAGTACAAAAATACATAAACAGAAGTGTTTACCCCCTTACTTGTTTGTCTAGTTCATATCACATCATTTTTGCTATGCAGCCATAAATACCTGCCATGGCCTGTGCCTTTTGATTGAAACTCAACAATGTGTCTCTACTGGGTTCATGAAATGGTGAAATTGTTTTGGGTTCCCATTGGATACTATTGTTAGCCTGTTTGTGAGATTAATTTGGTTATGGAGAGTAAACAGACTGGGCTGGTAGCAGAAGCAAAAAACTGAAATTGTATTAAGGACGAAATTATTAAGAATGTTATTTAATTTTAGTTATAGTTAAAACTTAAAAAGCAAATCAGAGTACTCATTTAAAGACTCATTTCAGTTTACTGCACATATGTGAGAATTGCATGAAGGAATCTAGAAATCAATGAGTAAATCAATAAATTTGAATTAATAATTCATTTTAGCATTCATTTTGGCAAAGAAAACAGCGGTTTGTTATCTTCAAATAACGTTGATGTTAATTATTATAACAGCAAGGTGGATTTCTGTGGTGGAAAATCTCTATGCAGTATTGAGTCTTACAATATAAACTCAACTCTGTTTTCAATACCACAGAATATGATAATGGAGCTCATTAGGCAAGCATTTACTGGTAATGGATGGTTGGGTGGAACACAAAGTACATTACGGTAGCAGTGTTGAATTCAAATTGAATAAACACCATTAAGTTATGTCTTTACACAGCTTCCATTTTTAAAGCTATTTTAGCGTGAAATAAAAACACAAAAATACTGTATACTAGTCAGTCTTTGCATATGTTAATAATTCAGTTTTATAAGAAACATGTACCTTGTAAATGTGGCATAAATGTGATGTTTATTGCCGGATAGGAACCTTTTCACAGCAAGTATCAGTGAAAGTCTTTTCATTCTTTAGCTTTGCTCATTGACGAGTGCGCTGGTTTGCACAAACAGATGAGTCACTGTATTTCTTATCTTATAAAGGTATCATGCCTTTAGTTCAGGTTAGCCTTTCCAGATGCAACACATCCTCTAATGAAAACCGTTTTCCCGCATTTATTGATGTATAGCTGATTTGATTTGAATATACTATGTATCAAAGTAGAAAGCATGTTTAAATTAACAGTGCACCCTTATACATGTCTATATACAGGTTACTTAGACATTCATTATTTTGTTATATAATCTAATAAACAGGACAGAGAAGTAGAAAAAACACAGAAACCTTGCCTGTTTATTAATTTGGTTGTCTGTATATGCACACCAGAAAAAAAACAATATTTAATACTGTTCTTAAAGATGATGTATTTGTTTGTTTATTTGTTTATTTACACCAATACATGTTACGCAGAATGCAGTATGAAAGTATAGCGCCAAAGCAAACTACAGTGCATTCCTCATAAGCGGGGGGATGTCCCTTTAAATCAGAGCTCTCATTGTGCAGTAGTGTTTCCCTAACTTCCTCTGAGTCATCTGCTTTGTAGGAAAACACTTCACAGCTGTACCTGGTTCTGTTTAAAGCAAACATTGAGAGTGTCTTAATGCGGGGAGAGAGAACAAAGGCAGGAATCTGCCACAATGTTCGGCTTTACTGTTAAATTCCTGTGCACATACTTAATTTGCTCTGCCATTTAATGGAGGAGTGTAGCTAAAAGTAGGTTATATAACCTTTGCTTATTAAACCTTGTCATGAGGACCAAGTGCCTTATGCAACTTCACTAAATGGTAAGCATCTATAGATCTTTTTTATATTAATATTATAAGAGAAAGCTTTTCATCCATGCTAATAAAGCTTTCAAAGTAAAAAAAAAAAAACTCCCATTATAAATATGATGTACTTTCATTCATAGGTGACATGACAGTATATCTAGGACTTTCTGTAAAATATTGTAAGTATTAATACTCAACAAAGGATAAAGGATGGATGGTAGAAATTAGGAAGTAAAGTGTCTAGAAATGCATAATCACTCGAATCCCAATTGGCTAACCATATTACTCTGCTATCTTTAGTGTCTTTGGCAGAGGTGGAGATTTCAGGCCCAAAAGTACAAATCCAGACCAAGATTTTGTTTCGACCAACCAGTTGAGTATAAAGAGTCACAGTCACAGAATACTCAGCTCTCCACCTCTGGTCTTTGGTATAACTTACCAGTGAAAGAAGCTGTAAATATACATTTAGCTTCCCAGCTATATTCCTTAAGTCTAAGGATTTGGTAATGCTTTGCATTAACTGCACCTTCACAATGCCTTTATAATGCATTAATACAACATTCATAAGCAGCATATAAGTATACCTTAATATAACATACCGTAGCAGCTTTAATATACATTAATGACAAACATTATTTAATAATAACAAACATTATAATTGTATAATCATATAATGTTTGTTATATGCTGCTTGTATATTTACAGTTTCTTTCACTGGTAAGTTATATGTGTTATGAAGGTGCGGTTAATGTATAAGTGTAAAGATTTTAGGTAAATCCTCACTGGTACTTTTTGTTGGCTAAACTGGACCTTCAGTGGTACCATTACTAAGGGTTCACTCTGTTCTGTGGGCTTAACCAAAATAATCAGCATCCTGCCATCCAGTCGAAAGCTTATTTAGTTGCTACTTTCTTGGCACAGAGGTGTGCTGCCTTTGTCGAACATAGAGTACCCTTCTGCGGGGACCTTGCTGCAGTGTTATGAGCTGTGGTTAAGCATGAGGTGTTTCTCAATACCAAGAACACAAAGATCGTACTTGTGCTCTTGGCAAGTCCGGTCTTGCTAACTTGCCTCTTATGAACAAACTTGAGGCGTAATGAATCATGGGATTGGGCTCGTTTGCTGAGGATGTAACTGATGCACTCTCGATATTCGAGGTGGGGCAAGAACATCATCCTGGGATTTTTATCGTCCTCTGTATGTTTGTTCTTAAATATTAGAACTGGTCTTCAGCAGTGGCAAATGACGTAAAACAGGTACCAAGAACACAAGTATGGTCAAGTGCGCATATTGAGAAAGGCCCCTGATTCCCTGTGGTATCTATTAAGGGGCTTTCTGCCTGCTCTGGGTGGCCCTGGTCACATGGTACTGTATGTGATGTTGGCGTCATGGCGATCACTGAGTTGCTCTCCATCCTTGCATATTTCTGGCTCAAGCACTGTGACCAAATGTGGATTTTTTCCCTCTTAGCACAGAAGCTGTTTCCATGTAATTCATTCCATAACGACATTTTAACTTAGTGATGGAGTTGAATTAGACTTGCCATACATTATGATATCAGAACCTGTTGTTTCTCAGATATTTTCAACGCAGAATAAGATTAAACTCCTTGTTTTTATGTATCTAAAATTGAGTTAGTCTTCAATCCAATCTGAAATATTTCATTTAATTAGATTCATTCCACAGGGAATCTATCAAATTTATCCGCATATAATTTCAGATATCGCTGTCTTTTTTTGTGAATCTATTTTTTTTCCAGAAACCGTTGCAATCATGTCAGCTCGAAAGAAAATATAATGAATAGGAGATTCATGAGCGTCATTCATAACAATGTCAGAGTCTTTGATCCTCAAATGTTCTTAAGCGGTGCTTTGGGTTATACCAACAGAAATATGTAATTTGAAAAATGAATTTAATTTTATTACGCTTCTCATTCTGCTATAGTCAACACAAAAAAAACTCTGGACTGAAACATAATAGCATAACCAAGGACATAAAGTGGGTTGGAGAATATTAGAGCAGATGTTTAATGGAAAAAATACATACATCTGTGAATCAATTTTTGCTTTCTTCTTATTGCCAGAGTAATTCACTTGATTTGGTTTGTAAAGCAAAACATGATGGGTAATTATTGGTTTTCTTGTACTATTAATTGCTGGTCTTTCCAAAATAATCACTGGTTTTCTCCCTGACCCGAAGCCTGAACATTCAGCCCTTCTTAACACAAAATGTCTGCAGGGAAATGGACAACCTGGCACTACACTCATTTATCTGTTGCCAGAAAGAACACAATGTGGCAAAGTTCGGAGCAGTAGACAATGGAGCTGCCAAATCAGGTTACTTGTGCTGTTAATGAACATAAAAATGCCTTTGATGTTTGAATTATGAGCTTTGAAAAGCACGACTTTAATATGTATCCCAATAAAGCTGCAATATATGAGCTTTAATGAGGATTTATAGGGTTTTAACCGAAACCTGAAACATAAGGGATTTGGCACAATATTTATTTTTAACTTTCGGCGTGATTTGCTGTTTTATTTGTACTGTTTAATTGGTTATTGTTGGCATTTTATCATTTGTTAAGAATTTCATCTGCTGCATTCGGTTATTATTGCAATAAACAAAATAGGCATAATTAAGTTGGACTCTAAACATGAATCGTTATCTGACTGTGAGGTGTTTAGTAGAAAGGGGATAATTGAGTATTTATGCCTTGTGTGAATTTTCTGCTGTACAGGGGAAAAAAGCTGACATCAGTAGGTCGGGACACAGCTCTCTGCTGAATCTACGGTGAGTCGAGCACAGAGGCAGTTAATAAAATAACAGGGGGTGTTTCTCTCTGGGCTGCCTTCAGCTGTCTTTCCTGTTTTGCTGCACTCACTGAAAACGCTCTCACCCAGAGTTCCTTGTTTTCGCTTGACCATCGGAAAAGTCCCTTGCTGCTTTAGTACAAAGGCATGATTTATTGTTTTTGTTTTGAACCTGCTTATTATGCTTTTTCACCCTTGCCCCCCTTGTCCATAATTAACAGTATTATTTTCACAGCAAAAATACATTTACTTACTCAAACCTTGGGACTATAATTAAACATAGTTATCCAGTGCAGGGCTGCAGAAGGGGGCTTGCAGCTTATCCCAGACAGCAGAGGAACACCCTGGATGGGATGCCTTGAACTGCATATATACTTTGATTACTTCATATATACTTTGCATATATATGTTGATTTTTATGCAGAAATCTGGGCTGCTTCTCTGTGTTTTTATACTTGATCACACAAAAAAGCACAGTTATGGACATAAAAATCCATCATAATAAGTTAAAACCACATAGCCAAGAATATATATATATATATTTATTTTTCTAAAAGCCATTTAAAAATGACCTATGCATTATAAGGATGTTTTGTAAAGGTAGAAACACAATGCCAGGATTTTTGATGTTACCAGATTCTCAGATTTTCAACAATAGAATGAAAAATATGATGGATGATACCAGATTTATATTACAATTAACCATACATATTTAAAAATAAAATAAAATTTTTAAAAAAGTTTTGTGCTACCACAGTTCATAGACATTTAGGCTTCGAAAGAAAGTGGCTGTCGGAAGATCAATGTTAGAGAAGATTCCATTATTGTCAGTAGCTCAGCTCTGCTTAATGGTTTCAGGTGAAACTGAAGATTTCCATGGCTTTCTGGAATATGGCATAGATATTAATTCACTAACTGTTTGGAGATCTCTATGGTTTTCTTCTGGAAAGATGAAATTAAATTAAATGAAGCAGTGTGCAGGTATAGAGGAGCGCGATGATGAAATCACAATGTTATAAAATTTATGCCATGTGTTATTTTTAATGCGCAAGGAAATAACTTTATATCATTTTAATGAGCTACAATTGTAGACTTTGAAAGAAATACTCAACATTCTAAACAAAAGTCACCCACATGTATGTTTCTTGATACATCTGCTTATGCCGACAGCCTTGACATGTAAGTTTGACTGCAAGCACATTATTAACATGGAATAAGCCCAGAATCAGACATATCAGGCATCACGCCTCTGTGGGCAAACACAGGCCTCTGTTTCACTTGTTTTTTTTTCCACTTTGCATCGTCTTCCTTTCTGACTGCGGAAGGTCAAAGCCACAGCGCGTCAAGGCCTATTATTTGATAATCCAATTTTTATCGTACCTGATGAAGCTACAGAAGGAAATAAATGCAGTCGCGTTATATTGCCATTTTCCACATCTGTATTGCTCTCCATTTATTTTTTTTTTACATACAGGGATGCTGATTTTTTTCCCTCTCCTAATTTGCCATCCCACGGTAAATGAGATGTGGTTGATCTTTATCTGGAGAGAAAGATACCATTATGCCTGGCAGCTGTCCAGTTGCTCTGGGTAAATAGAGGAATACAAAGGACACGGCCATAGAGGAAAGTGCCCGGAGCAGCATTCAAAACATGCATTTAATACAAATCATGTCCTCATAGCTACTGTCTGAAGCTACACTTCCTGCACATCAGAAGAGAATCAAGGCTCCTATGCAACTATATAGAGGTGCACAGGACTTAGTTTACAATCGTTCTGGCTAAAGGAGGGAGATTATTGAAGAGGACGTCCTTTCAAAAAAGTGTCTTTACTTCTTCTTACTTTGGAACCAAAGCTATAGTCAGCTTCATGTTTAAGTCACTACCTTAATGCCCAAAGTTCAGAGTAAACACCACATCAGCTAACATTAAAGTGACACGCTTACATATTCAGCCTCTACAGCTCAGTATTTGGTTGGAGCACCTCTGGCAGTTGTCCCAGCTTCACGTCTTTTGGGTACGTCCGTACCAAATTGGCTCGGCGACTTGGAGCAAGTTCTACTCTCCTGCTTGGCAGATTTGCTGAAGCGCTTGCGAGTGACTGGGCGGGGATTGGTCATGGCAGTTGCAGAAGTGTTTAAGTCTTCCCGCAGATTCAAGTCAGTAGTGTCAAAGTTATGTGCTGGGCTGTGTCACCCCCCCCAGCTCTCTCCATGAACAGCTGCTGACTATGGAGAAGCTGGTTTCTTTGCATGCGCGCACACATTACAATTTGCAAATGTACTCAAAGTTACATTCAAAGCCTGTAGTGTTTTTGTACCCATTTCCCCTTCTCTCTGTTTTAATACTCCGCTTGTTCTGTACCGAAAGCCTCTTAGAATGTTGCTACCGCCATTTGAAGCTTGAGCACAAGAACGCCCCAGGCACGGACAGCAGAGAGTTTTCGGAGAAGGCTGGACTCGGACAGGGGTACGATAATCACAAAAAAAGCTCTGCTAGGGATGGACAACCAAATCAAACATTTTATGTCAGAGCTTCCTAACAGAGGTCCTCATTTCACTGGTCCTGGTTACTAGGAGGGCACACTAGTTAATTCTAAACAACAAGAGCATGGGATAAGTGGAACCAATTAATCCAGATATTCAGCGTCACCTGCCCCTCAGTCTCTGAATGCACAGCACCCCTCCACTTCTCTATATGAGGAACATTCATATTAAAAATGGAGGCCAGCCAATTTTGAGGCTTGTTAAGACAAATTGTGCTCCAAAGAGAATGAATATTTCTGATAGAAAATGTTTTGCATGCCCATGCAGCCATGACTTGTATTTTTACTTTCCATCTTGCATTTTAGCGCAAAAGTGAGCAGTAGGTTTTGTGCATATCAATTTTTTTTTCACTACTTTAAAGTGTCAACATTTTAGCATTTTACTGAAGCAAAATCTGAAAACTGCTCAATGGTTTGAAAGTCTGTATAAAGCTTTGAATCGCTAGTTAGTGAGTGCACAGTGTTTCCCCAGGTCTAGTTAGTATCTGTTTCTGGCTGCTAGTCATGGAGAAATCACTCAAACGGAATGCCTGCACTGTGGATCGATGGTGCTGAGACTGGGACTTAACCCTTTCATTTTCTCCTGCGTTGACTGTCAGTGCTGATTGCGGTTTTTCCATCTGCAACACCACTAACCAGGAATTTACTTTCAGTTTCACATTAATGACTGATTTTAAAGCCATTGAAAGGCATCACAGTGATGACTGCAATAATACTACTAATATGCATTCATTACTTACTAGTATGAGACTTTCTCATCTATTACAGTGGACATTGATATAACACTTAAAAGATGTCTCCCTCACTTCTCTCATTTGCACATTCTCTTCTTCTCTCTGTAAAATCATTACCCCACAAGTATCAACTGCACCTTAATTATCTTCATGTCAGCATTTAGTTGTAGTCATTTAAATGTATGCATGCTTTCAAAATGCATCCTAAAAACATAATGAATGTAGTCTTAAAAGCTTAAATTTTATAAAGGTCATTTTGATGACCTTCATTTTTACCCAATATTTTGTACGTCTGCTCCTACTCTCAAAGCCCCGGCCCTTCAGTATAATAGCTGTTAAAAAGGAGATTACAGCCTGAATTCTATTAAATGAATATATTTATGCTCTGGCTTTTTATTGTCAGTCTGTGGCCTTTTTGTGTCTAACGCGCCATGTTTGGTAAAGGCCACGGCTGTTTGTGTTCCCATAACTTAATGCCTTGCCTTTATTGTGCAAGGGCAAATCTGCCGGCGATCTCGAACGCGGTCAACGGCTGCAGGATTCGGTTTAGGGACTCCGTCTGCGAGCCGGTGTGCATCTGTATGGAAAAAGGGGGTTTGTGCCATTCTTTTTGCCAGGGCTCTCTCCAGCTAGAGCCTGACTGAAATCCCGGCCCGTGTGAGTGGGTTGACAGGACAGAAGACGGCCCTTAATGAGCATGCCTGTCTTCTGCCGGCTCCCCTCTGCACTCCGAATACTCCACATATTTCAGCCCATATAAGGAATGTGAAGTGCGGCACTGGGTCTCTGTAAAACGAAGAGAGATGATGCACAGACTCCTTACGCCCTTAGCTTAAAGGCTATTTACTTCAGTCCATCGGACAGGCATCGGGATTATGCGCCAAAATGAGATAATGTATCACATTTCTCCTCTTTTCCTTCCTTTATTTTGGGCTTCCTGTTTAATATTTTCCAGCACAAAACAGAACGTCGGTGTGATTCTGTCAAATGACCGGGCGGTGATCTGCAAATAGATCTGGCTTTTCCAATCGCATTCTATGTTTCAGCCGCTTTCATATAACAATGATAAAAAATTATGAGTAAAATACTGGGAGAATGGAGGAAGGTAAAGACTATGGCCGTCATGCAATAAGGTGGATCATTCTGCTTGACTTATGTAGTGATTCATAAACGATGCATCTAGGAATGTCCCATATATTTTATGTTTAACCCTAACAAATGGAATATTGTAAATAAACGACACGCAGTACATTTTTAATGGCACATTTAAGTCCTTAAAAAACAGGCTTTGTAAATGAAATATGTTGCTTTCAGAAAGCATTTTCTCTGTGTTCATATAAATTCATTATCTGAAAAAACTCTGGACTGGCTGATAAACACAACTCCCTGAATCCTGAGTACAAAATTAGCCTGAATGAGCTGAATTTTTGTGGTGGGGAATTTAAATTATCCCAGTTCATTTGAAAAAGTTCTGATTTCTGTGTTTGAAGCCTACATCTACAGTAATCGCATCAAAGGAGGAACAGCACAACAATGGAGAAACAGCGGCTTTGCAGACATATCGATACATTGTGCAATAAACTGTTCAGTCTGATTTTTTCAAACTTAAAACACCACCAGGTCTCTTTGTCAGGGCCGAAGGGGAACAGAAATCAACTGAGTCATCCTCTCTTAAGGCCCATTTTCACCGAGACCGAAATGAGTAAGATAGTGACAGTGATGAGTAAAGGCAATAAGGTTTAGGACGATGATGGTGAAAGTCTTTCGACACGCAGAAATTGGCAGAGCTAATTCAACACAGAGACTGTAAGTGCTGATTTTGCAGTGCTATGCAGTCTGTGCACAGAAGAGCAAATGTCCTTTAACGAAAGGTTGACGTGAAGTAAGATGAACACTTTTTCCTATAGAGTTGCACATAAAGCTGCCAGACTTTTATTAATTATTTGCAACGAAAAAGTAAAAGTTTAAAAAATAAAAAAAACTTCTACAGATGTAATTTTTTCCCAGAGGGAAATGTAGGGAACAGTCCAGGAGGTGAACTGCAAAACCATAAACAAAATCATAATGGCTTTTTGGCCAGAACACAAGGTTTAGTGTCTTTAATGGAAACTATGGAAAGGCACCTGTGGGAAATCTGGAATGTAAACTTAAGATGTACAGAAGTTCTGGCACCGCTTCAAAACCCAGCTCACCGCTAACAGAACGAGCCCGCAGCATTGAGCACAGCTCTGTATTTGATTTCCCACCCTAAAAACTCACAGACAGCATTTCTACATTCTGCAGTCGCGTCGCCCATTTCTAGTGGATTAAAACGCGAATGTGGCGGGTGCTTAGTCAGCCCCGTGCATACAGAGACGCTCTCAGATGCACGAAACTCTAGATATGGGTGTGGATTTAATTCTATCCAACATCTATCAATTGCATAGAGTCACCTAGGATACCTTAATCTGTCACAGGTGTGAGAAGTCCAGCAAATCCAGTGTAAAATGTGATATAATATAAAACAGTCATGCACATGCTACATTAAAACTGAGTCCAAGCACCCAGTCATACAAGGTCTCTTTCACCCAAGTTCTGTATGTAATACTGAACCGAGTGTGAAAAATCTACAGTGCGTTAATCAAGGTGCATGAGATATTTAAGGTCAAGGTGAGGGGACATCGTCTGCTCTGAAAGTTTACAAACATGCACCATTGCAGCGTTCAGTCAATCCTTAACACCCCACAAACACACACTTAAAGTCACAGTCTGCCAGACTCTGCAGCCTGATATGTAAAAAAAAAAAAGCTCTGGTTTAGCTTCAAACTGATTACGCACAGTCCCAGCAAGAGGCAACAGCATTAATCAATTAGTGAAGCTTCTCTTAAGATTTGAAAGAGACGAAGTCGGCCGACTGCAAACTGTCAACGGACTTTTAAATGCAGTGAAAGCTTCCTTCTGTCTCACTGTTTCCCCCTTCCCTCGTTCTTCATTCATCCCAGTCCACCCCACTCATCACTGTGTGCAACACAGGAAAAAAAAAACATCTTTGTATTCTGGCATTGTGGGAGAGTTTGTCAGGCTCTTCTCAAAGGGATAAAAAAAAAACATGTAAAACCACGATTCTTACTCAGCCGATCATACATGCCTTGTCTCCATGCCGTAAATTATTCACTCTCCTTTTTCCCTGTGATGTGTACATTGAGATGCATTTTTTCATACTCTAAATCGATTATCGTGATATTTTTAAATAGCGGTGCCTTTAGTTTTTGAGTTTCCTTTCCATGTCTCTTGGAAAATCTGTTTTAATTCAAGATAAAGTACATAAATGAAATTCATATTATAAGTTCAGACAGACATATGAGGGTTTATTATGGTCTGTAATTGTACATTTATACCACATTGGCTATACTTACAACTTGCAGCGCAATGTTCAAGTCCAAAACAACCTTGTTTATAAATCTGAATTATGTGATAGGACGATACATAAGGATACTCATAAAACACAGAAGATCGGCCTATCACAGCAGCCCTTCCCGTTTTCCCACAAAGCAATGGGCCCATTTAAGAAAATACCCAACAACGCAGCTTGGATAGATGTAAAAATGCCTCAAGATGCATGATTTCACATTGCTGGTAGTACCTTCATATATTTCTTTCCAGTTCTTGTGGAGTGACAGCCTGTACAGGAATATGAAGCCAGAGGTGTTCCAGTTTCCACTGTCTAACACAGAGAGCTGGTTCTCTGCTGGCCTTATGATGAGCCAGAGCACATTCTGCTATATGCGGCAGAATCTGGTGTTTAAATGGGTTATGTGGGAAAAGCATGCAGCAGTAGGAGAGGAGCACAATTTAAAAATTGTTGCTGTAAATGGATGTGTGTGTGTGTTTTACCTACCGTGTGAGTAATATTTAGTTTGAGGATGTGCTAACCAAACAAACAATTAGTCATAATCTTGGGAAAACAAAGATATTTTCTTCATTAGCCTTGGTTTATTTAACCTCGCCAGTGGTGCGTTGGTATATGTATGGCTTTACAGTGGGGATTTGAATTTAATCCCCTCACATTAGCCGTCTGCGGCATGTAGAGGCCCGAGACTGCATACTGACTCCTGTGTCCCTCGGGTCAGTCGTACAGCAGGGACTCTCCGCTTCTTACCGCTCGCCAGTGACACATACAGGGCTGCGAGGGGAACGGCAGGAATCGCAGACTTCCCTTTCACAACGGTGGTGTCTGGCAGAGGATTTTAATAACTGGATGTTCCAAATTGGAAGAAGATGAGAAAAAATGCAGTTCTTAACAATTCTTCTGAATATTGAAAGTACAGTTATATTTTATAATCCACTAGAGAATAAACAGTAATATGCTGGAATAACTACCTCATTCCTGTCTCACATGTGTCCAGGTTGAATAGGTTTCTTAGGGCATCTTTAAATTGTCTATGGTGTATGGTGTATCCCCCCCCCCCCCCCCAGGCCTGCACTAGATAAACAGCTGGAAGATGTCTGAACGGACAGATGGATGTTCATTCTTATTACTGTAACAATATGAATATATTCTTTAGACGTATAAACGTAAATCTCAAAAAATAATCTGAAAACTGTATGCCTTTCCAGACAGGGCCTCACATACATCATGTCCTGGGACGGACCCCAGACCTGCTCTCCCCCCCCCCACCTGGGTAAACCTTTCATGGAAAATGGATGTCTGGATAGAAATAACGGTTATCTGAAGTTTCTTAGCAAATTATCCCATTAAAATATGTATGTTTATATCTTAAGGGAAAAATAGATATTGCTCTTAAACTGCTATTCAACTAATTTTATTTAGAAATGTTTTTAATAATAAGATTTTAAAAATAATAATAATTTATAATGTGTTACCAGTAAAATCCCCCGATCTGTATTACAGGGCTGTTAAGGGCCTGGAACAGGCAGCGTGAGACACAAGGCTGGGGGGCGCACTGGATGGGGGGCGCACTGGATGGGATGCCAGTACCAGGAAAATATGGAACAATTAATACTTTATATACTAGATATATGAGGGAGCTCAATATTTATGCACCAATAATGAAATTAAACTGACTAAGAAACTACATGGATCTGTTTTTTAGATCCAGCAAAGCTTTCTGCAAGAAATTCTAAGAAATATGACTGAAAGCAAGTCTTGCTTTTCCATTTATAAATAGTCCCCGGGAAACTCATCAGAATATCCCTCTAGGACATCACATTAATGTGTCTTTAAAAAGCAGGAATTTGTTAGTCAAATTTGTTTTATAATGCTCCATTCAGTAAGAATCACAATGTGATTATATGTTTCTGGAAATTTGTTAAATGAAGATTGTTCTGAAAAATGACACGAGATGTGATGAAGGTTTGTTACAGATAACCCATTACATTTTAGCTGTGAAAATGCATTGCATTATCATAAAAGTTAATGGTATCATTTGGTTCAACTTATGTTATGCTGTAATCACGTCAAAATAATCTATAAATTTATCCTTCTAACAAAATATGTGAAATAATGCATTTCTACTATCTGGAAGGGCAGTCCCTAACTTTGCCATCAAAGAGCCACTATGTTCAGATGTTGTGATCACAAAATGTCCCCCACCATGTAATAAAAACCTATTTTTTGACACTGTGGAGACCATTTTTCATGTCCCCACAAAGATCTGTGAATGCAATCAAAAACTAAAAATGGCAAACGTCTCGTATTTTGTTTGGTTAGTTATGGTTAGGGTTAGGGCTGGATAGGGATTAAGGTCTTCATGTTGGGATTAGAGTTTTCCCCATAGAAATGAATGGAGAGTCCCCACAAAGATATAATTACAAACCTGTGTGCGTGTGCATGTGGGTCATGTATATATTACATTGGGAGGACCAAATGTCCTGCAACGTGATAAAAACCATGTTATTTTGACGTTGGTAACAAACAAATGATACATACTGTAAAAGCAAAAAAAAAACCTCAACAATACCAAAAAAATTCAGCTGGGATGAATGATTGAAAAATGGAATTACTCAGGTATTGCATTCATAAGAAATTCTTTTTGTCTTGAAAAGTATACCATTGCCACAGAGCATTAGCTGTAGTTGCTCATTTTTTCCACGCGGCATTTTAAAACTTCCTCCCACAAGCCTAAACTAATATCAAGAGCAACAGGCTAAACCATTCCTACCGTTTCTACTGGCTGTAGTTAGCCAGGGGCTATAATCAATGAAGTGTACATGAATGGGTCATCGCTGGCCACGTTACTCAGATCCTCACCTCACGTCTCTGATCATCTTTCCCATTCTTCCCTCAAGCACCTCATGTCACTGGCTGTGTATTCCAACAGAATAATCGTGCATCTTGTTGCTCAAGGCGATCTTCTCCCACGGCACCTCTGGGATGTATCCCTTGCAGTTGTTAGATAAGAAAAATCCTCAGCCTTCACACTAAATGTTGGTTCTTGTGATCTCGCCTCTAGGTAAATGACTGTGATACATTCTAAATGCTGCTTATAAACCCAGAATGTATTCCTCATTTGTAAATTGCTATTGAAAATTACTAGAGGATTCATGGATGTGTTTGAAAGTGCAAATTCCCAAACTTGATTTTTGGATTATCATTTATGTTTAAAATCTATATCTCATGTTAATGAAACCTAAATTTAAGATATCACCTGGCAAAGATTTTTGATGACACAAAACACACCATCAGTCTCTTCACAAGACGCTAGTGCAGTGTTTTCCGAATATGGTCCCCGGGGACCTGCAGACGGTCCATGTTTTTGCTCCACGTTTTGTCTGTGAGGGAGCTGGAAGGGAGCAAAAATGTGGACTGTCTGCAAGTCCCTGAGTACCGGATTGGAAAACACTTCGCTATGGTGTGTGCTCTACTCTTCCCCAGAAAACATTTGCATACACATTTTATGTTATACATGTACAGTAGGTTCCACATTACACGGCATTGATCCTGAACTTCAGATGCTCTGTTTCAGGCACAAAGTAACAAATATAAGCAGAGACCTAGACCTGGTAATAAGCGGGGTAAGTCCTTGAGTGATTCACGCGTGTCAGTGACAGGCAGCACTTGATGTGCCAAAAATGGACTGCCTGGACCTCAGCTGAAAACAAAACTACAATACAACTAACTACAGTCCTATAGGTGATACAGGCGGCCGCCTAGGAAGCCAGCTTCACTTCACTGTGCCTCAGACAGGGGGCGCTGGTGGTGATTAGGGCGCTGCATTGGCTAGGACTGGTACTGATTCAATCTCACTGACCCAGGTGGACTACAGTAAGCATCTGTGTTACTGTTTATTTGACACCCATCTATGTTGGACTGATTGAGCATCATACCGGATCTGGAAGACACAAGAAAATAGTCAAGTTCCTACTATTTTTTATCTCAATTCTTGTGCATCTTGGCTGGAACATTGAAGCAGCTATGCTTTTCAGGCTGTGTGACGGTAGCCCGCGTTGTGCGCTGGACGACCTGGCATGGAAGGACAAGCTAACCTGGGGTTTAGGTGCAAACTGAGTGGACATGAGCCCAATGGTTTAGCCAGGGATTGACAACCACCGTGCTCCCCGGGGCAATGGGTGTATGCAAAATGTCAAGCGTGGCTTCACCAAAATGCCACCTCCGAAGTTTAAACCCAAGTACAGGGCATGAATCCAGCCTAAAAATGCCAAATAGCACTGTGTGGAAAAGCCTGGGCTGCCCGGAGGCATATCCATGTGACACGGGGAATGCAAAGAGCATCCCGAGGTCGATTCGGGAGACTTCCTTTTTCAGGGTGTTTGGGAGCAAGGGAAAATAGGGGGGTAGTGCGGGGCGGGCGGGGGGGGGTGCGGTGGCTGTGCAAGAAAAACATTTCCGAGCAAACAATCAAATAGTTTTTGCAGAGACCAACAAGCAGAAAAACCACAAACATAAAACACACCCCCTGTTCTTATAGCAACTTGAGTGCACAGATACAGGGATGGCGGGGGGGGGACGACAGGCCACACATATTCAAAATTCACAGTATCACAGGGGGGGTCACTGTGGGCATAGAGGGCATAAGGCAGGAGACGCCAGGGGCGGGACGCGACTGCACTGCAGGCAGATGTGGGTTAGGACCCTGCACCCGTGACTGGAAGGTCACTGGCTCAAATCCCGTGACCAGCTCAGTGGAGTGATGACAGTGTCGGGCTTGTGAGCAAGACCCTTAAGCCTGAATGCTCCAGGAACACTAGATAAATGGCTGACCCTGATCTTTCACCCCAACTAGCTGTAATATATACTGTATGTCTGCATTTGGGAAAAAATACCCAATTTCCCCATGGGGATGAATAAGGAGAACTATTATTAATTTTAATTTGATATCATTGTGGTGTGATGGAACATGCAGACCTTACATTGAAATAAGGGGTCATGCTTAGTTGAGAGATCAGAAGGGTCTGATCTATTTCATATGTCAGCAGAGCATTTACATTTACCAAATCTAACAAATGCTTTTAGCCAAACTGACATACATTTTTGAGGTGGGGGGGGGGGTGTTTCATTGCCTGGAACACTTGTGGGATTTGAGCCAGTAACCTTCTTATCACAGGCAGCATCCTAACCTGCTGAGCCACATAACACCTAAGTCAGATCCCTTATCCAGTTGAGCATGTAGTCCTTGTAAATAGAGCAGGTGGTAAAATCATAATGATACTTTATCGATCCCTGTGGGGAGCTGGTCTCCATGAGATGTGTAGCACCCGACATGAGCAAGTTGGGGGTGGGGGGTGCAGGATCAGCCAGCATACAGCACCCCTGGGGCTGGGGCCCTTGCATTTGAGTGGCATCTGTCTGCGGACCCCAGGATTTGAACCTGTAACCTTCCGAGCGTTGGCACAATTCTTAACTATCTCAGACACCCACCCAACACACTGAGCAGCAGTAGTTCTCATGCATGCGCATGGTTTGCAGGCCCAAAATTCAAACTGGTCACTTTACTACCTTGCACTTCACTCTGCATGTGCTTCACCACATCAGCTGAAGTACAAACACTCATACTGTAGCAAACTTAATAAGAATATTGCAGATGGGGCAGAGATGTGATTACACATCCCCCAGAGCTGACAGGCAAAGAAAGTTACTTCAAGCCAGAATTGTTTCTGCTGAACATCCTCTCTGAAATCCACTGTGCCAGAGTTTCCTATTGTTCTTTAGAGACATAATCTTCAGATAATAACCGTGGCATTCCAAACCACTCCCACATACTGACACATGCTTGTCTGAACACAGAAAGAGGCTTGTGGACTATGTGTTCAGTTTATAAATGTGCCTTCGGTGCAGACTGCAGTAGCTTCAGGTGTCAATAATTCAGCACCTCCAGCAGAGACATACAGTGTCCAACAGCTTTAAAACAACCTGTCTCTATCATTAGAAAAATCCCACAATTATTGTAATAAAACGCTGGATCAGCACTGTCTAGAAAATCCCTCTGGAATTTGAGAATTCATTATATTGTTGACACATAATCCATGACAGATCGTAACAGATTTAGGCATCTGATCAGCTTAATGTACCTCATTCCTTACCAGCACTTCTGTAACGTAACAGACAAATGCATTCATGTCACTTATGCCTAACATCATCTCAACGACCCGTATCAGGTCTATACTCTGTATGAAAATAAAAAACACCCGAATTATGCAAATTACTTATTACTGTTTAAATTAAAGCCAAAAAAGATTTTCTAATGAGTGGATTAAATGATAAACTTGAAAGACTCTCCACGCTATGAACTAATGTTATTAATGACATTTTATATAAATAAAAATTTAGGACTTTTAAAAAATGTATCTTAGGGCAAATCCTATGATATTAACTGAAATAAAATTATTTTAGTCTATCTTTTTTCTTGTTCCTAAATTCTGGCATGAAAGCATCCCCAAAATAATATCAAGAAAAAGATCTGTCAGTGTTCCACTGATGCAGTGCAGGGTCATGGTGAGCGTAAGGTCTGCCCAAGAAGCTCCAGGCCCAAGCCAGAGGGCATGTTCAGGGGATGCCAGGCCGTCACAGGGCACAGACACAAACTCTATCGGCCTCCGATGGGCAGCACAGTGGTCAGAACTGCTGCCTCACACTCTGGGACTGGCGTTCGAGTCTCTGCCTTGACTCTGTGTGTGTGGAGTTTGAATGTTCTCCCTGTGTCACTGTGGGGTTTCTTCCAGATACCCTGGATTCCCCTCCATGGTCCAAACACATGCTGAGGTTAATTGGAGTTACCAAAGTGTGTGTGTGTGTGTGTGTGTGTGTGTGTGTGTGTGAGAGAGAGAGAGAGAGATGCTAGGTGAGTGTGCACTGTGATGGGTTGGTGCCCCATCCTTGTGCCTGTAGGTTCTGGACCCTCTGCAGAACAAGACAAGCAGCTACAGAAAATAGATGGAAAGCCCTCAAACTTACAGTATGAATTTACATTGAACATTTTCACAAAAGTAGAGGTCCAGAAGAAAAGCCCATTATGGGTGACATAACACATAGTCATTAGCAGGTAAAGCACCTACCCTCTTGTATTGAAATGGACTCCTAAACAACACATGACTTCATTGCTTCTGAAGGTGCTCATGGTGAGCTGTG